CTCGGAGCCTGGAAGGTGGGCGGCGCAGGGAGGTGGGCGGCTCAACGCAGGAGCGCCCCCTACTGGCCCGCCACAGCTGCCAGCCACGCTCTGTGTGCCCGGATCGCCATCGCTACAGCCCCAGGAGGCCGCCAGGACCCTAGGTAAGGCTACTAGGGTGGCCCTGTCACAAACAAGTAAAACCATTCAAAACAGTTTTAGTCTGCACTAGGTTAACTAAGAGTTAACTAACAAGAAGATAGTAACAGTTTTTTTGCTGCGCATGTCAAAAAGAGATCTATAACTGCGACACTAACAAGAAACGAAACTTAGCCCATGATTTATGATTGGTCAGGGTGAAAAGGGATAGCCCTGCTACAAATCCCTAGAGATAATTGGCGATTCTAATTAAATTTATGATGTGGCGAAAAACAATTGGCTATCATACAAACAAAACACTGCCACAGTTCCGCAAAAGGGGGAGACAACTCTGTCCGCACCTTGGAGTAAATCTGACAATTTGATCAGTTGTCAGCGTCTTCCCGCCGCGACCTCCCTGGCGTACCCTTGACCCACATGCCCGATAAGCCGGCCCGTATATATGTCTGCAGAACGACCGAACGAACTCTAAGCTGTAACTAACTAAGTATATCTGACCTCCGTCTTTCACCACCTTGACGGCGTGAGTAAATAATCTTGCTTTGCAACCGATAAGCGTCCGCCTAATTAATTCCACTCCATGCGTCACAAGTACCCACCTGACGAACCCTTAACTGCCCAGGTGGGAGTCAGGGAGAGCTGCTGGCCGGCTGCCCTGGGTCCCGACAGGCCCCAGCCTCCCCTACCTGGGGCAATTGGTTGCATGCCACAGTGCACATACAGGGGCATTCTACGTATCTGTGTCACTGTTAGTTGTCCCCTGGGAAATGCACATGCGTGCTCGTGAGGACATGCCTGAAGTGTTTGAAAAGCAACCACTTTTTTGAGCTAGATCTAGGAGACATTTTGTTTCTGGAGGCACCAAAAGGTTCTGTGGTTCAGTATGATTTGTCTAGCTTTGCAACAAGTTGGCCCCAATATTTTAATCTTTAACTAACAAAGAGCCTTTTTAGCTCTCCTATAGAGATTCCTATTTGAAAAAGGAAACGGACTTGAACAGTGTGTCAGAGAGCAGGTAGCTTGACCTTTTGACAAACTTTTCAGAGACAGTTATCAGCAGTGACAGGAAAACAAGCTAACATGCAATATTTCTACCATTTAATATGCACAGAAGTCAGTAACTGCACAATCTAAAATGGATGCCACATGCAAACAAGAGTAACTCAGTAGTTGCTGTCACAACCCAAAGGGTGTGATTTTTGTTTTTGTGTGCTTCGGCACTGCTAAATTGTTCCCGCTAAATTACAGCTTCTTTGCACGGTGGAGTTTTCTGCTGCAAAAGAGAACCCAAGGGAGAATTTCCCGCCAATGTGAAGCTTTCTTTGCAGGGTGCATTTCTTTGTTGCAGCACAGAAATGCTCGTTGCAAAGAGTTCCCGCCATTTGTATGCTAATTCAAGCCCCATTATTGGCCAGTTCTAAATTATGCACACGTGGCGGCTAGTGATTGGCTTGCTAGCCGTATAAAAGGCTTGAGTGGTTTCCGCCCAAGTTGGAGGACTCCACGAACACCAGGAGGAGGAGACTTCACGCTGTTGGAAGATCTCTAAGCGCTGCGGATCCTTACGGACCCAGCGCATTTCAAGCAGGCAACAGAGGTCTGATCAGCCTCTAGCCTCTCCCTGTCGCCGATAGATTCCTAGACGTATCCCTCCCTGTGCGCAAAAGAACCGGACCCACGGAGCCTAGCAAACTTCGTGTGAGTTCAGCTGGAACAACTGACATAGTTGTTCAGACGACCGGACTACCTCAGAGCACAAGTTCCACGGAGCCTAGCAAACTTCGTGTGAGTCTATTCAGAGCTCTTTCGGACGAGCACTTTCTTTGGCTGGCATGACGGGCTCGCGGTTTAGAGCCTCCAACCGGACGGGCTAGAAGAGTGTTCACGGGACAGAACTCTAGTCCACCTCTTATCTTTTCTATCTGCAACTGTAACTCAAGCAAGTTTTCCTGCCTGCACTGCAACCATCTTCGGTGTAAGTAAACAATCTTTAAATCTACTGCTACGAGTCCGTGCCTAATTCTAGCTTGACGTGCGCCCTCTCCGACCCCGCATGCCCGGGCTGCTGGCCACAGCCCACGCAGAGCACAAAAACGGGCCTGGCTCGCGCCTAGCCCGCACAGTTGCGTCTTTGTTAGGACCAAAGCTTGAGCAAAGAAAAACATTCCTTTTTCTCTTTGTAGCTTTCACATACTCCTGGGTGGGGGGAGGTGAAAGAGTTGAGAAATTAGTACTTTGACAACTGTTGACTTTTACAGTGGCAAATGAAGCCTTAGAGTCCTACCCTTCCCACATGGTATCTTATTCCTATCCCATTCTCTATATTACACTGTTGTTGATAGAGTCAAGGTGGGCAATTTGCCTAGACAACAACAAAATTCCCTCTGAAGACATTCACTCCAAGACACTGAAAAAGGTACTCTCTGCAAGACTAACCATGCTAAATATATAAACTTCTACAAGAAGGCAGTCTCATTTCCAATTTGTTTTTTGAAGGGTCAATTCTGGTGCAAATTTATTTTGGCCAGTTTGCTACATTTTAATAGCCAGTCTTAGTACAACCAATACTTAAGCACCAGGGTGCACAGCATATTACAGACAATAAGAGATTCCCATTGTTTCTAGTGTGCAGTGTGGCCTCAAGGAAGTCACTTTATACCTTTTCTTCAGTTTTCCAACCAGAAAAATAAGAAAACTCCCACTACTGCTTACTTACTGTCATTATGAGTTTTAACTAATATTTATCCAGTGTTTTCCTCATCTATGGCACTCATCACTATGGTATGAGCCCTTTGAACATAAAAGAGCTACAAGAGGATTCAACTTCTACTGCACTGAGCAGTATTCTATATACACAAAGGAAATTTCCTACAAATAGGGAGAACGTCAAGCTGCAAGGAGCATTCTTTTTGTTTTATTATTTAGGAATACATCCCTGGCCTAAAGAGCTTATAGTCTAAATAAAAAGTGTACACATGAAAGATGGAATAAAGAATATAATTTAAAAATGCATTTGTATTCATTAGGTCTCCGATTGTCACGTTGCAAGTTTTTTTAAAATCTCTCTCACTTGCTTAAAATAAAGTTTTAAATTTACTAAAGAAGGGTAACTGCACTGCACCATAGGAGTTATATCCAGTTGGTCCATGAAAAAGTCTGGCTGCTTTATAGCCCCATTCTTCACATCCTATGAGTAGTATTCCCAAATCAAAATTTTTGGGTTTCATATGAATATTTTCAGTTATTGATTTTTCACAACCTAGTTTCCTTGACCAGTTATCACATACACCTGTATGTACAAAATATGTGAAGTACAGATCGGTGATGAGCTGCTTTTACAGTTATTTACCTCTAATTATCCTGTAGCTCACAAATCCTTCAGCTGGTTTCATTGGACAAGCTTCCCTACTAGGACAGTAGAAGAGGTAGCAGTTTGGATACTTGCCTATTCTTCTAGCATCAAAAATCATCAAGTTACATTTCTTGTCTCCTGCAAAACAGCATATATTTAGTTAAAAAAAAAAAGAGGACTTTTTAAAATCTGTCCATTTTTATGATAATAAGAGCTACTTCGCTTATCTAAAACCTTTCAGGTGAGTGTGAAAGGAAAAGAACTGATGTATCATCCATTCAGGAGAAACTTCTTTACTGTTAGGATAGTGATGTAATGGAACAGACTGCCTAGGGAAGTTGAAAACCTCCAGTGAAGGAGACTGTACAAGAGGAGGCTGGATAAGCGTTTGACAGGCATAGTTTAGGAATACCATTTCTGCATTCATGTAGCAGACTGGACCAGACAACCCTTTCGGTTCCTCACAATCCTATGATTCTATGCAAAAAAAATTATGGACACCTACTCTGTCCTGTACAAGTGAGTTAGGAAAAATAATGCAATGAGCCCAATCCATAACCCATTCCTAATGCAACTGCTGAAATTCAAACCAAAACGTTATTTGAAGATTAGACTTCAAGGCATCATTTTTCATATTAGGCTTTGCCTCACACGCATCTGATAAATTTCAAAGGCTTGTAACTTTTGAACAACTAGAGAAAGAAAAACTTCTCTATCTCCACCTTTCCCCTCATTACCTAAAGAACCTTTTGGTTTATTTCTGTTTTCTGATTAATCTTGAAAACTACCACTGCCATCTGCTGCTGCTGTTTCATTTGGGCTGCTTACAGACATTAAAAAAAACCCAACAAAAAACAGTGCTTTACTTTACTGCCAAGCCCAGCACATGCCCAGAAGAGGCACTGCATTTGTTGGACCCAGCTTGCCCAACATCTTTTTAGTTCATGTGCCTTTTCTGGCACTTTTATCTAATAGCTAATTGAATCAGCTTTAGATAAAAGCACCAAAAAGCCCTGCTGAAGCACCCGATCTGTACAGATGCTGTGGAGTCAGGTTGAACTAGCGCGCTGCTTTTTCTGGTAAAGTGTGAGTTTATTTTTGCGGGGTTTTTTAAAATGTCTGTAAGCAACCTTGTTTCTAAACTACTGATGGAAAGCAACATTCATAAATTAAGGTAGGCATTCTAATTTTTGGTCACTCTAAGGACAGCATAAGTCTGCCACTTGATTTTTATTTAGCCTACTGAACAAACAAGTTTATGGCTTCTGTATCTGGGAGGTAAAGTGTCAGTGTTTAAAACCATTGAATGTGCTTAAAGTATGCACAATAAGTATGTACATCCATAAAACACAGACCTAAGTATATTAAGTTCTAATTTAACGGATGAATATGTTAAGGAAAACATACCCAATAATCACAAGATTGCAACAGTCTTGGTATGAAAAGCAGGGTAAATTTACACTTTCCCTCCTTGAGAGCTGACTCTAGCTCATCCTCTCCCTGCCTGTCATCATAAGCACTGATAGACATGAAGAACGATCAAGGGAGAACAGCTTACCTGATACGTTTTTTCCTATGCAGCAAGCATTAATACAAGCTTCTGGTGTTGAAGTATATACTGGCTCTATCCCCTTGATGTCATTTTTGAGAGATGCCATCACATCAACGATGACATTTTCCATCTTCTCCAATGAGCAATTTTGACACAGGGATGGCTCAGGTATCATAGCACACAGCATTATTAACGTGCAAAGATGACACAAATTTAAACTGAGAAACATTTTCACTTGAGTTGGATTTATTCTTTTTTTTGTCAGGAACAACAAACTTCTTGTTGTTTAACTTCAAAATAATCTCACTTTAGGAAGAATGCGTAACTGTCACCATCTCTAGAAGAGAAGTAAATATATTTAGTACTGGATACTGTTTTAAAGGAATTAGGCTTCCATTAATCAAAATTAAGTTTTAAACACATTTCAAGATCTTGTCAGGACAAGGAACAAATGTTAGTGCTTTTTTTAATGTTTAATCTGAAAAGGTAATGGAACAAATATTATATATTAGATGCAAAGTTATTTACTTCTCAACAACTGTCGTGCAAGATGCTTTCGAATTGTCCTATTTTAAAAAAAAAGTTACATTTCTCAAATTAAGGAGTGGTAGACACATCATATGAAAATATAGCTGTGTTTATGAGGCACTTACATGGCTGTCTCCATGGTAGACTCTGAATGTCTTATAAAAGGTATCATTTTGAAATCAAGAGTTCTAGTTTTTTGTATGCCTTATAATCCAAAATGCATTTACCTTTACAACACCTCTGCCTCATGAAGCAGGGAACTAGTATCCCTTTTTTTCTAAGGCCAAGTAAGGCACAAAGACACTAAGGCCAGGTACAGACGTATTACACTTATACTGGTAAAAGTAATCGGAAACCAGTCTATACCCATAACAGAACAGAAGAAGTTCAGTGCACACAGACTGGTTTAAAAATGATGGAAGCTGGTCTGAGATTTGTCTTTCCCCCGCCTAAATGTGCATGTGTGTTTGTTCACTCTGATTTAAACAATTTAAACTGATTTATAGGAAACAGCATAACTTGTATTGATTCCTCCTTGAGCTTTTTGAATGTCTGTACCTAGCCTAAAGTACTAATTCAATGTCACTCAGGGATCACAGCTGGCATTCAATATTGGAATGACCTTCCTTACTCTTGCTTAAAGATGCCCAGGACCCCAGAAAAATGTCAAAGGGAATCTGCACTGGAAATGAGTGATTGAGGGATTACTAGTGGGACCCAGAGCTGCTCATGACCTCACTCTTCAGCCTAACTCTGGTAGGTCAGTGATTCTCAGTCTTTTCAGAGGCACCTCATTCATAACCTCTTTGAATTTAGCAGCAGCCCATTTTTTAGTTCTAAAAAACCAACTGAGCAATTCTTCTGTTGCAAAAAAGACAAAAAGACCACAACAGGTCAGAATGTGTTTGACACTCTGGATTCCTAGCTGAATAAAAAACATCCTGGGTTTACCTTGCACCTCCTGTATAGGTGCTTATGCACCTAACCATGCTAATATTACATAGTTCCCCTAAAAGGATACATAGCACCTCGGCAAAGAATCACTCTGGTAAGTCAATAGGAAGTAAAATCTACTACGTAACCTGCTTTGTGAAGCGAGTTAGTCTTTTCCCCGCATCATAGAAGAGGTGGGCAGCCACAAAAACCCCAAAGATACCATCAAAACTTACCAGAGGGAACAAAAAAAAACCCAAACTCACTAAGAGGGTGGTGAAGCACTGGAACAGGTTACCAAGAGGTGGTGGAATCTCTGTCCTTGGAGATTGTTAGGGCCAGGCTTGACAAAGCTTTGGCCGGGATGATCTAAGTGGGGATGGTCCTGCTTTGAGCAGGGGGCTGGACTAGATGTGACCTCCTGAAGTCCTTTCCAGCCCTAATTTTCTATGATTCTAAGGCTAAGCTCTGAAGAGTCCACTAGCCAGGCAGGCATGTGCAGTACCCTTACCTGTGCTGCCTCCTCCTAGGGGGCTCAAGAGCCACAGATCTCAAGGCATTTAATCTGTGCCAGTCTCAAGCACCACCTTAAAAGGTAACAATGATTTTGCAACCCTGCCTGGAACTGGGAATTCACTGAGGCTACTAGAGCCACCTCACTGCCCTCCTCCCTGTCACAACCCAAAGTTGTGGTTTTTCTTGTTTGTGTGTGCTTTGGCATCGCTAAATCATGTTCCCGCCAAATTGCAGCTCTTTTGCATGGTGGAGTGTTCTGTTGTAACGGAGAACCCGTGTGCAGGAACTTTTCCCGCCAGTTCTGTAGCTTTCTTTGCATCGTGCATTCCTTTTGCATTATAGTGATGCACGATGCAAAGGAGTTCCTGCCATTTGTATTTAGATTCGTGCCACATTATTGGCCGGTTCTAAATGTAGGCATACGTGGCGGCTTAGCTATTGGCTTGCTAGCCGTACAAAAGGCTTGGGTAGTTTCCGCCCAAGTTGGAGAGAGAGAAAGCATGTGGAGTTCGGGAAAGGAGCGTGAGGATTTCTAAGTGCTGCTGATCCCTACGAACCCAGCTTTTTCCTTAAGA